GGTCAGCGTTCACAGTTCGACTTCTGATATTCAGATCGAGTTCTAGGTCAAACTGGTTTGTTCGACTTTCAAGAAATTTGAGTTCTAGTGAGTTCGATAACCGAGGTACACTGTACTTATAGAGAATAGCACAGATCTGCATGTTTCCAGATGGGACAGAATCGACACTCTGGCATGACACTGCATGGGAAAGCAGGCACCATGTGCACTTAAGTCTCATATAAAAAGTCTTACTACTTTGTACCTATATTAATTCAGTGTTTCCCAGTCCACTCCGCAGGAGCCCACAGACAGTCCACATTTTTGATCCTACCAGGAGCTGGGAGAGCACAAAAATGTGGACTATTTGGCAGGGAGCTCGGTGGGAGCAAAAAACACAGACCGACTGTGGGTCCCTGAGGACGGATTAGGAAACACTATTAATTCATTATTATTATATTCACTATACTGATAGTGACTGGCGATGACAGTTACTGTATGCAATCACAGCAGCGAGGATGATAATTAGCTAACATTACATTAACAGCTACTGTGCTCACACTGATTATCCCTTTGGTGGTGATTATCACTATATTAACAGTTATTGTACTCACCCTGAAACTAGTATTTGGAGTGATGGTTACCATAACTCACAAGGATAATCACTTTCCAGGTGACAGTCATTGTATTCTCAGCAATAACATTAATCTTTAACAATAACAGTTGCATTCGAACTAACATAAATGCTAACAATGTACTACACTAACAGGGATCATGACTTTCATCTGACAGTGATAAACATTACATTAAAAATTTTACTCACAAAGATCATAATGCTGACAAAAATAGTTACATTACTCTAGCTGATTAAGGCCCTGAAGGTGATAAGTTACCGTGTTCAGAATAACAAACAGCTCGTATTTGTATGGATCATAAAGCTGACAGTGATAGTTACTATACCCTGAATGTTTATTGTTTTTTGAGGTGATAGTCACTCTGATTAAAGTAACTAACACCATTTAAATAGTTGCTGTACTCACACGGATCATAGCACCGGCTGCGACAGGCACCATACTCACATTGATCATAGCATTGGAGGTGATGCGGAAGAGCGTGGCCCGTTCGTTGACGGCCTTGATCTTCTCCCCACCCTCCACGGGCACACGTAAGCCTTCGAGCTCACTCAGGGAGCGCTGCAGAGCTGCACCATGCTTGGCAATCAGGTCGTTGCAGGTGCTCAGGTCATCAAGCTTGCTGGCTAGAGTCTTCAGCGTACCCTGAATCTCACTTCTGTCTGACTGGGAGGCAGGCTCCTCGTCCCCAGAATCATCTACGAGGGGGAGGAGGGCTATGTTAGGAAAGGGCATTCTGTGGGACTAGCCACTCTGGCATGTTCAAAGCATATACCTCCTAGACCAGAAGAATTCATCTGAATGGGAATTTGACCCAGATGGACACGTAACAGCATGCGCAAAACTCTTCGGAAATCCACACAAAGTAATTCAATTAAGCCATTAAAGAAAACTAAATTGAAAACAGCAGGCTTAACAATCACTGATAGCATCTATGGTGTGATAAAACAACGTTCCTTTGATTTAAAAATAAGGCAGCACACTGGTGCTGCCCTGCTGGTCAGCCTCACTTCCCAGGGCCTCTCGTACTTACAGTCAGCTACTAAACAGGGCAAAAGAAAATCATTATGGTCAGCACATCTGGAAGTGGACTTAAATGTAACAACAGAGAAGCAAGCCGACTGTGTGAGTGCCCACATGCATAATGATAATGGGTGATAAAAAAATTACCTCAGCCTTAATCATGCAACAAGGATATATATTTATGACAGATTTAACATTCTGCTGCAAAATGTTGTACGTGAACTTTGCTCTAATTAATATAATGATTAATTTTCACACATGCCAAACGCCTTCACACAGCTGCCATCACTCCCACCCCTCCATTCTCTTTAATTTAAGGCTTCCTGTAGTCAAAAAGGCACACGTGAGTCATCTGCTGCACTGATAGACTGGAACATCAGTGTGGGGGACTGGGTCTGAAGGGACAATTTAACGACCAAAGGGGCCTCCTTGGATTCCAATATGTAGGTGATGAGTCTACCCTGCCAGCCAGACATGCATCACTACCCTTGTGCCTGCTATATGGCACCATTGCCATGGAGAAAATGGACAACATCAGATCAGTTCTTAGTCCCTAGAGGTCGAATTGATCTCTCTTTGAGTCATGCGTGGGAGTCTTAGAGCGGACCCCCTATCCAGCATGAAAATCAGGCTGACAACTGGGATGAGGACTTCCACCAAGAAATCCTCCATCAGAGTGGCTTTCCCGCTGGAGGAGAATCCTAAAACAGGCAATGCACAGTCAACAGCGAACCACCAGCCATCACTGTGAGTTGGATGTTTTGCATTGAACATCACAAAAAATAGACAAAATGACTCATCTGAGTTTTTATGGGCAAAGAATAGGTGATTAAATATATACTGAAAAATGAATTACAAGCACAGACTCACTCACACGCTGACTGCAGCTAATCGCATCGATCATGGTCCTGGAGCATGATGGGAGGGCAGTAAATTCTAGATCTCATCACTGATAAATGTGTGTTAGTAACCCTTCACTGCTCATTCGCTCTGTATTATGGCTGCCCTCTGCTACCCCGTCCCCACCCCAAAAAACAAACACACATGCTCACAAAGCCACATACATGCAGTATTTCTCTTTCACAAAGATCGTTGACAGGACTGCGCATAATGACAGCGGAGATATGGAGTGAAGCCACCGGTTATGACAGCAGCAGACAGGAGGCCCTGACAGCATCAGAGACATGATGGGATGCAGGGAGTGCCAGCACCATCCAGGGCAGCTTATGGGCAGAGCCCAGAGCAATCGCAGAACCCGGGGGTCAAACTCAGCTAGTTAGCACTGAGAAAACACTGAGGCCACCTCACACTGTCAGGGGCATTAATTAATAGAGAATTAAACAGGCAATTGGCCACATGTTTCACTGCTAACTGAGCTAGATCCTCATGCAGGATGGTAGGAAAGAGAGAAGATGTCGGTGAGGAGCAGCCAGCCAACTAGACTGAACACAATCATGCCACCCCAACAGAGAGGGAGACGAGAGGAGATGGAGAATGACCAAGGGGGTCCTGAGCTTAGCTCATATGCAGAAGGCTCTGGCTTCAGACACACTGCTCTCCTTACAATCACCACTGACTAACACTGTGTCCAAACACTGCTGTGTTGAAACTTATAAAATTAGTATTATTTGCTTTTCTATAACATCACCTAAGGAGCTTTCTTGGATTTTTCTGGATTTCATGACATTTAACAAATAAAATGAAGCTTACTCTGACCTTTTTTTTTTTAACATTTTCCCTCTCTTTTGTTTCAGATTTACTGAAGGGAGGTTTTAAAAGTATGACAGTTTATGTGAAAATATTTCAAACCTTATGCACAAAAAACAAAACCCAAAAGCGGCTGTGAGACAGTGAAACTGCACATCAGCAGCCACAGCCACGTGCAGAAGTTCTACATTCACTTCCGGAGACTGAATGGGGATCAGAGCGAACAGAGAAATGTCACAGTGGGGGGAGGTTCTCTGCATAAAGGAAGAGGAGCGCACTGCTTCTCTCAAACCTCCAATCCTCAACAGCACCCGTCTACTGCCATCCCTTTGATTTGCTGTTATTCTTCAAACTACTCTTCCCCTAAGACGGGTTCATAAAATTCTTACAAAAATTGGACTGTACCACAGAAGCAAGGACTGGCCCAGTTTGGGTTTTTTATTCAATAAAATGCTAACGATGATATTCCCGGCAGAAGGTGGTGCAATAGTTAAAGATCTGTAGCCTGAGCACTGCTGGTTTATGCCCTGAAATATTCAATTCAATTCAATTTTATTTATATAGCGCAT